GAGAGAGAGAGAGAGAGAGAGAGAGAGAGAGAGAGAGAGAGAGAGAAAGGGAACAGAGCTCACCTGCAGAGAGGGATGCTGCATCAGCTGCATCACCCAAGCCTCTTTCCCTATGAATGCCTCATTGTCCCGGTGAGGTGACAGACTTTTTAGGGCAGGAACTGGGTCTGCTCCTTTTTTTTTTAAATCTAGCTTTGTGCCATACAAAGAAGGTGTTCCAATACTCTTTGAGTTCCAAAGGCCAAATGAGTAAGATGAAATTTAAGAGAGAGAGAGAGAGAGAGAGCTGGAAGGTCTTTGCATCTACACAAAACCAGCATCCAGGCTGAGGGGGAGGGTGAACTCTCAGGGCACAAAACTGACAGCATGCCTATGGTGACAGGTGGCAGAGTCCCTCCAGCAGCTGGGATTAGGGTGGGGGTCAGAAACTTTATAAAGGTTTAACTGGCTAATGTTTGAAGAACTCGCCCAAGCTGTGAAATGGGGATAATAACAAATAAATAAGGTTGTTGCAAGGATTAAGTGTGTACATTTCCTAGCAGTGCCCCATCCGTGAGAAGCCCTCACTAATAATGTAATGACAGCAGCTAAAATTCACCTTGCACTAGGTAAGGGGCTATTACATGGAAAAGGGAGGCAGTTTATTCTGTATAAATCCGAAGGACAAAACCAGAATCAAAATGGTCAGAAACATCAGAAAGGCAGGTTTAACTCAACCCAGGGAAAGCAAGTTTCCGACAGTGAGAAAGTTTAAATATTGACTGGGTTTCCTTGGAAAGAACAAGAGTTCCTCAAGAGTGTGACCCAATACTGGAAGCGGGTTTCTCCATCATATTCTTGAAAGGAATTGGGCTTTAGCTGGGAGGCCAGACATGATGATCTTTCATTCTCTGTGGTCAGAAACTGGAAAAATGAACTGCAAACCCAACATTCTTAGAAAACAAAGGCTCCACATGCCCCTAAATTCAGATCCAGGGCTGGAACGAGGTCAGGCACGGCATCACCGGGCAGGCCCAGAACGCAAAGTCCTTACAGGGAATCTGACACTGGGTCTCAGGACACATGCAATCAAGCAACCTCATGGCCTGGATTCATCTTCCAATTCAGCTCTCACTTAGAAATTTTCTCTAACCAGCATCTCTTTGACAGCTGTGGTCTCTCTTCCCAGCCATGCTTGAATCCCCAATTTCGGCTAGTCTGCCCTTGCATGAACCTCCAGACTTCCACCACCAGTCACACACACACACATGTGGAGCCCTTCAAACATATCAAGCTGTCTTACCACCTTCCTGCCTGCACACCCCCCACACTGATGCCTAACTCCAGACAAATGCCGGAGTTCACTATGCCAGCCCCTCCTCCCCCTGGCTCACCTCTAATCAGGGCAAAAGGCACGTCTTTCAGCTACATTCCCTCCTCAAAGTCCACGCTGTTTACAATCCAAGTAACTGCCCACATGCCCATAAGAGATTCAGTGTCTGCCTCCCCCAGTGTTGCCACTAGGCTGACTGTGACATTTCCACCTGACCACTGTCGAGGTGGGGACAAACCAGGTCCCAGGTGGGGGCTCTTCTTCCTTCCTGCTCTCAAGTTCCACCTCGAGGCTGTCCCCCAGAACTGCCCTTGTGATCCACTGAGCCCTTTGCTACTCCCTGAGGTTCCATGTGGTCTTGGGGCCAGGATGGCCAATGGCACAGGGGGCACCATGAGTTCTCCACCCCCAGGCCACGACCACCTGGGGCTCGCAGGCCAGTGCCCCCTGAGATGCCTTCAGGGCTCCCCAACACCAAGCTGAAGGAACTCCCCAGGCTCAATGCAGAGCTCAGCACTTAGGTATGTGATGCCTTTGCACCCCATCCCCAGATGCCACCCTACCTGTCCTTGGGCAGACTCAAAGTCAAGGGGTCCCTGGCAGGCGCTCTGGAAAGTAAGGAGGGAAGAGCAGCAAAAGCTCAGCAATTTTGGGGAAGCAGGACCACCCAGGAGATCTCAAGCAGTGGCTGCAAGCAGAGATGGGAAAGCCCAAGGGGCCGTGAATTCCCTCCGGACCCTTCCTCCATCTCCCCAACAGTGGGCCCAGCTTCCAGTCCTTGGGTAACCAAGACCAACCAGCTGCTGCTAAACTGATCCAGTCGCCTTTCCTTTCTGCTTCCACACCCATGGTTTAGACCTGATCCCTGGTTCCCAAATCAGGAATTTTCTGGAGGGTTTAGCAAAACAGATTCCTGAGCCCTACTCCCAGAGTCTGGAACAGCAATTCAAATAGCACTAGAGCAATGGCCCCGTATTATTACAAAGCTCTCCTGGGACCTTGCCACTGGTTAGGCAGAAAGGAGGACCACTGGCCTGAACTCCTGGTTCACACTTCCTTGTAGACCCAGCACCCCCATCATGCTGGGCCCGGAGTAGGGGCAGCGTGCTTGTGTGATGGCAGTGGTTGCTGGCATAATGTCCTGCATGTGTCTAGGTTTCACTGTCCACAGGACATTTTCACCAGCGTCATCTTGTCCCTTGATTTCCCATTACCCAGGGAGGTCAGCTCTCCTGGCATTGGAGGAGTCCCAGGTCCTCCTGCCCAGGTCACACTGAAGGGAGCAGCACAGAGCCTAGGTGGGGCTGCCAGCAGGTGCTCCACGGTCAGGTTAGAGGGAAGCAGCCTGGCACCAAAGCGAGCCCCTTTCTGTGAGGGTTCCCTCTCCCCTCCTCTCCACTGGTTCCAATAACATTCCAGCTTCCTGCAGGAGACCGGGAGGAAGGGAAGGGAACTGCCTCCATGTGCCAAAGCCCCACAGAGCCAGAAGCCAGGAGCCACAGGGCCTGCCTTCAAACCCAGTTCTTCCTGTAGGTCACTGAGCCTTGAGGGCGTTATCTCAGCTCTCTCACCTCAGTTTCCTCACAACAGAGTTAGATGTGCCGTGAGGCTTGCAGTGACACACAGACGGAAGAAAGTTCCACATCCACATTTGCTGTTATTATAATAGCAGGGTGTCCAGACTTACTGGGACAGTCATGGTGAGGGGGAGGGGAGGGGCTCCAGCAGGTTCCAGGGCCCCGCAAGAGGCTCCTCCACTGAGACCTTCTCAGAGGAGGGCCGACCTTGGGGGTGTCAATCAGAGGGAAGTTGCTGGGGACCAAACAAATGTCCAGACCAGAGCAAAGGCCGTGCCCCTCACCAGTTGGTATTTTAAGAAAACAGAGCGCGGTGTTGAATGACTAGCCTCCAGGCATAAGTCACCACCCATGGGACGTGCCAAACTCCGGGCTGAGTGTGTGCGGGCCAGTCCTGCACCTTTCACTCTGACCCTCTCCGGCCAGTTATCAGCAAGCTCCGCTGGGGTCGGAGCACGGAGGCAGCACCCACCTCCGGTGAGGCCGCGGAGCGGGGAGCACTCCGCAGGGCCTTCCCGGGGACTCCCGCGTCGCCTGGCGCACCAGGCCCCCTCGCCTCCCTGGGCAGCAGGGCGGCGCCTCCTGGTTCCCTTTGGCCCCGGTAGGCTCGGCCTGCACCCCCAGCCAGCGCTCTCCTCCAGGGGAAGTTGGCTTCTTCCTCACTTCCTGGAGAACCTTCCGCGACCTCCGGCGTTAAGTCAACAACCCTCCCCTCACTTTAGGTTTTCTAAACACCCAGGAACTCCGCTTCGCAGCCCTTGTAATTTTCCACGATGTGGCCTCTCTCTCCAGCTGAGAGCGCCAGGAACGCAAGGGTCTGTCGTAGCCCCAGGACTCCGTGCCTTCGGAACTGAGAGTGTGCAGCCCCCAGCCCTGGTGACCCCTGCCCATCTGGCAGACCTCGGGCCGCCTTGCCATCCTTACCCCCAAAATGAGCCGCCAGGACTCCTCCCGGCCAGGCACATCGCCGTGTGCGTTCGAAACGCGATCCGGGATCCCAGGCCCCAGGGCTGCGCACCCCCACCCCGGGGAGGCGTCTCTGCCACACGGGCTCGGGGCACTCGAATGCCGCCCCTGGGCCAGCGCCAGCGGGGTCCCGAGCCGGGCGCTCTGGGCAAGGACGCGAGAGCTCTGGGGCTGTAAGGCAGCCCTTCCGCGGAGCCCATGGGGCCGCGGGCCGATGCCCACTGCCACGCCGAAGCTCCCGGCCGCCGGGCCGTGGCCTGAGGCCGTGTCCAAGCGCCCAGGCGCCCGTCCCTCTACCCAGACGCGGACCGCCCGTCGGGCGGGCATTCCTGCGGGTGCGCGGTGTCCATGCTGGCTTCCGCCGGGGCCCGCGCGCGGCAGTCCCTCCCCGGGGCTACCGAGCCGTTCGCGTGTCGCCGGGGGTCCTCCGGGAGCCCGGCCCCGCCACCCCCGCTGCGCCGGCCGTATCGCCCCCGGCATCTCAGCGAGTTTCCAGTTTCTCCCCACCTCAGGAGGGAACCAAGGAGCAGAAGTTCGGGTAACACTCCGAAGCTGCAGAGAGTTTCACGAAACAAAGAAAGAGACCGACAACCCTCCCTCCTCCTCGTCCCCAGTAGGAAGAGGTGCACCCCGGCCTCCAGTTCGGGCCTCGGAGGGCAGGTGGGCCAGGAGCGGGCTCCGGCCGAGAGCACCCACCGGAACGACCCCAGACACCGTCCTCTCCGACGCATGGCCCGGGGACTCGCGGAGCAACCTGCCCACCGTGCCACGGCCAAGGGGTCCCAGGCGCGCAGCACCCACCAGCCCCACGGAGGACGCTCGGCCGGGCTCAGCCCCGCACGCACCTGTCGCGCTCGCGCTGCTCGCACCTGGCCTCACCTCCTGCCACCCCGCCCAGCGCGGGGAGCGATCAGGTCCCTCCTCGGGCCACCGGCCCCGCCCGGAGTTCCGGCGGTGCGGGCCGCTCACCTGCGGCGCTCTGGGGCCCGGGGTCCCCCCGCCCCTAGCCCTTCCGCCTCCGCCTCCTACCTTGCTCGCGTCTTCCTCTGCCCGGCGCCGGAATCCCCAGCCCTCCCAGGCTCCCGCTTTAATCCCGGGAGGCGGTGTCCAGGTGCCCAGGGCGACACCCCCGAGCGCGGGGCCGGGTCACCCCGGGCGGGGGGAGGAGACCGGGCGGAGCTGTTCAGGTTGGGAGGGGCGGGAGGAGTTTGCACCGAGGAAGCGCGGCACCCACTTGACGACTGGGAGGAGCGCATCTCCCTCCCTGCGGCCCTGGACCGCGCCAGTCGAAGGCTCTTCGCAGCCAGAGGACTCGAGTTTGGATCAAGGCAGAGGATTCTGGGGAGCGCTGGAGCTGTGGCTGCCAGAGCTCCTGGAGGTGGCCCGCACGGGCTGGTGCCCACAGCCCCGCGTGGCCTCTGTGCCCTAGGCGCCCACCCAGGAGTCGGCCCCCGCGGACCCCTGGCCCCCGCCACGCGCCCTGCACCCCCCACAGTCCACCTTTCTCTACCTTCAGGTCCCAAGTCCCGCTCCTCTCTCTAAACGCGCCCAAGAGCGGAGCGAGGTCTTCCCGCCCACCAAAGGCAGGGACGCGGGTGACCTAAGCCTCAGTCCAGAAAGCACGGCTTGCTCTCCCCGCCACTTACCCAGACCTTCAGCTTCGCACCCCCACCCGTGAGAGTTTACAGCGCACAAAGTACCCTGGATTGCTTAGAGTAAGGTGTAAGGGGGAGTGGCGGGAGTTGGGGGAAACCTAATTCATTCCCAATCACGTGCGGCCTTGGCGCAGCGCCCCTTCCTGGACAGGGCTCTTTCCTCCTAAATTCTTCCCGCCCACCCTCTCCTTTGGATCCCTCCCTTAGATCCACAGGGGGAACCATCGTGAATCTGCCCGGTCCCGCGTGCTCTCACACTTTACCCATGTCCAGGGTGTCCTGGGTAGAAGGCCCTCCAGGGCCGGCTGCAGCACGCAGGTCAGGCGGACTCTTCTTCAGGGAGTCACTCACTTGCCTCTGTTTTGAATAGTGTGTTTGGAGCCCTCTAGAAATGACACCCCTGCTCTCCCACACCCCTAATGTGCACCTGACACCAGGTATGCACATCTCTACATTCAGCCCTCTTGTGGCAGATCGGTCAACATCCATTTCCCGTCTCTTGACAACTTTGCGGAATTTTTGTTAGTGTATATACACTTCACAGGAGCAGCTCACCAGCTCAGGGAGCCGACTCCACCCCAGTACTGGCTGGGGGGCATGCAGCCAGTCTCTGGCTCAGCAGCTTAATCCCATTTTTGCCAGAATTTCTGCTTTGGGGATGTGGGTAAAATTGCAGTATTTCCAGAATCTCTCACCTGGCTTTAGTGCATCTCCATATCAATAGGCTATTACAAGGAATTGGGAAGGGGAGGCATATTTGGACCTGGGAAAGTTGGTAGGGTCCTTTTGCAGCCAGGTTGAGAGAGACACAGGCGAGCATAAGTAGATGACTGCTTGTAAGCAACAAATGGGTTTCTCCCACTTTATTTCTCCCTTTGACCAATTTCAGCTTCAAAGGTTATTTGCCCCAGGCTGGGAACAGATTTTCCCCCCAGAGTTACAGGGGATGAGCACAACCCAGCCACGTGAGACACAGAAGAGAGGTGTCCTGGGGTTTGAGGGAGGGAAGATGTTTTCCCACCCTTCTAAGGGAACTTGCAGAGACCCTCTTCCTGGGCTTGGAGGAGGAAGAAGCAAGTAGCCACAGGAATTGCTGATCGCCATCTCTCCATCTCTAAGGAGCTAGTACCTGGATAAAAATAGCTCCATGAAAAAGCACAGCATAGCGATGCCAAGGACCCCAATTCTATGGCACCACTCAACCTCTGGATCAAACAAGCAAGCTCTGGAGTTAAGCCCCCCTTTGCCACTTCTTTCTTCAGTGCAAGTAGAAAATCAGAATTGTTTACCAAGGGGAGTATCTGTGATGTAATAAAAGCAAAACTGTATTATTATAAGTTAAAAAATAAGCATTAGAGTTCTGTTCATAATCATATAGCAGACTAGATATCCTGAAATAATGCTGTCACTAAATAAAGCCTTAAAATCTGGATAGAATATATATTAATAAACTTTAAAATTACAGCTTAATTTGCCAGAAAACTTGAGAAACCCTCAGACACAGAAATGCAGTGGAAGCATATATCCAGGGAAGGAAAGAAGAAATCCCAAAGTCATCTAGCCATCTCTAGTTGTACAGTTTCATCAGCAGGGGCTGGGGACAAATGACAACTAAAGTCAGGGACCTCAGCAAGGTAGACGTTTGGCTGGGACACCACCACAGTGAGTCAATACCCGAAAAGCTCCACCCTCAGAAAAGGATGATTTTAAATAAAAAACCTGATAACCAACCCACTGGAAGTGATGATCAATAAACTTGTTTATAGTTTGGTCTTAGCCCCCAATGCACAAGAAGTAATGCTCTCCAGAGAATGTATAACTACAAGCAAGCCCTCAGATGAGAATTTAGCTTTTGAACCCAAATTCTCACTATTTTTATAGTCAGAAAAACCTCAAGCCAAGAATTTGATCTAAAGTGGTCCTAGATTGGCAATGTCCTTGGCACATGGCCAAGTGCTCCAGTGGCATGCTGCTTGTGAGGTTAATTTTATGTGTCAACTCTCCTGGGCTAAGGGGAGCCCAGACAGCTCTTCTCCTGACTTCCTGTATCAGTGTTCCTGGTTCTCAGACCTTTGAACTCAAATTAAACTGTACCACTGGCTCTCCTGCTTGTCCAGCATGCATAGGGCAGATGGTGGGAATTTTTGGCTCCCATAATCACATGAGTCAATTCTTATAATAAATAAATACACACACTTGCATACATGTGCACACACACAAATATATTCTATTGGTTGTGTTTCCTCTGGAGAACCCAGACCAATATACCCCTCAACCCAGGAAAATTCCCACACAAATTTAAAATGAGCTTTAATTTAATTAAAAACAACTAAAATAAGAGCAAGCAATAGAATCAAATCATAGACATTGGCATTATTGGACACAGATGAGAAAATAAGTATGATTACTATGTTTAAAAAATAAAAAAGAACCTAAAATGAATAAGAAGCAAGAATTATTTAAAATTACCTAGTGGAGTTAAGGAGAAAATACTAAAGAGAGCTTGTAGAAACAAACAAACAAAAAATGTAAATCTTCAGTAGCTGAAGAAGGAATCATTGATATGGACTACAGACCTAAAGAAATTATCCAAAATTCATACGGAGGGACAAAGGAATTTTTTTAAATACATGTAAAAGAAGCTAAATGGTATGGAGAATAAAGTAAAAAGACGTAAAATATGTCTGATTAGACCTCCAATACCTGGTAACAGAGAGAACAATGTAGAAGTAATAATGATTGCAAAAATATCCAAAACTGATAAAAAGCCTTGAATCCTTAGATTATTGAAGCTCAAATCCCAAGCAGAAAACAAGAGGAATCCATAGTTACACAGAGTATAGTGAAGTTGCAGAACCCTAAAGAGAAGGTATGAAAAACATCCTGAAACTAAAGACTTTGCCCCCAAATAGAAGGTGCAATGTGGGGAAGAGTGGCTGTCAACATGGAATTTTATATCCTATAAAAAGATCCTCCATTAAGAAGAAAAAGACATTTCCTGACAAATCAAGGCAGTGTGCACCACAAGGAGCAAACTTGAAAAAGATGTAGTTTGGGAGAAAGAAAAATAATCCCAGAAGGAGAGTCTTACATACAAGAGGAAATGGGGAGCCAGAGAAATGGTAAAAATGTGGGTAAATCTGAACAAATTGACAGCATAAAACAACATCACTGATAAGGTTTAATTTATAAAGGTAAAGAAGCAATAGCAACAAAAAGCAAAATGAGAACCTGGAAAATAATAGCAAGGAAACCCCAGTGGGTGGACAACACTAAAGCATCTTAGTGATTGTGTTCTTCTGGACGAGAGTAAACGTACTGATTAACTATGGATTTTATTGAGTGTTCTAGTTCAAAGGATAATTCCAAAAGAATAAAAATAGAGCATACCTTGATATACCCAAAGAAGAAAAAAATGGGATAAAGGGGAAAAAATTTAATGAAACCAAACAAAGCAAAGAAGAAGGAAGAGGAGTAGAATTAAACCCAGAAGAAAAAGAAACACGGCAAATAGCACAAAACGTAAGTGTAGAAATAAATACAAATGCATTGGGAATCATAGTACATGTAAATGCTCTAAACTGTCCAATTTATATGAATAGATTTTTTTAAATATACATAGATTATCAGATTGCCTAACTTTTAAGTCAGCCATATGCTATGCATTTATGAGACATGTAGAATGGACACATGTAAAAGAAAGCCAGTTTGAAAAAGACAAAATAGACTTTAGAATAGAAGGCTTTATTGAGAATAAGGAGTTGCTTTATAACAATAAAACAAATCACTTGGAAAATGTAACACATGTTAGCGTGCAGATACCTAACAACATAATCTCCAAAAATGTATAAAGGAAACATGTACAGAACTATGAGAAGATCTTTACAAATCCACCATCATCTCTCTTAGTCATGAGAGGTCAAGCAAACAAACAAACAAAGATCAGTAAAACTGCAGAAGAATTGAACACCCCTGTGAGGAGACTTCATGAATGGGCATATATAGATGCCAACACCAAATAATTGGCCCAATGGTTTTCCAGGATAATTCTTAGAAACATTTAAGAAACGTATTATTCCAGTTTCAAAAATTGTTCCAAGGAATGGAAATACCAAAAATACTCTCCAGCTTATCAATGCCTAAACCATCAAAGATAGTTCAAGGACAATTACCCAATTGATCAGGAATATAAATGTAAAAATACTAAACAATTATTAACAAAAGGAATCCACAATGTGCTAAAAAGATCCTGACCAATTTGGGTTATCCTAGCAATGTAATATTGCTTTGACACTAAAAAAGCTATCAGTATAGTTCAACACAGTAACATGTTTAAAAAGGAAAACCATAAAACCATTGTAATATATTTCAAAAGAGCATTCAATGGAATTCAACAATCATCCATAATGAAAGCCCTTTGCAAAATGAAATAAATGGGAATTTTCTTACCTGATAAAGGGTATCTGTATAAATCTCCAAGCATATCATCCTTAATGGTGAAATGGAAAGGTTTACTGCTGGCCCCGGTCCTCCTCGACACTGTACTGAACCTTTTAGCTGGGGCAGTAGATGGGAAAAAATAAATTAAACTAATGAGAGTTACAAAGGAGGAAATAAGTCTGCCACTATTTGAAGATGATATGACTGTTTATCTACAAAGCCTCAAAGAAGCAAGAGAAAAAACACTAAAAGTATTAAGAAAATGTATCTATCTATATTTGATATAGATACCAGACAAATACACAAAAATTATTTGCATTCTTCCACACCACAACTAACCATTGGAAATTACAATTTGTTAATGTATCAATTACCATGTTAGCAGCAGTGTGGTATTGTAGGAGAACATCATTCTTAGAAAGACTAATGTGGAAACATTTAGGCATGAGGTGCCAAAATCCACGATTTAATTTCAAATAATTGATTCCAAAAAAAGCCACATTATAGGAAAATGTTAGTAATTGTTGGGTCTAGGAGTAGGATGTGTCTGTGTATCATTCTAATCTTTCATATTCTCTGTATCTTTGAAATTGTCATCATAAAAAGTTGGAAAAGAGCTACAAAAGCATATCATTTACCTGGGAACAAAAATTAGTTGCCTTGAATAAATATACCAAAATATGTGAAAACTCTTATGGAGAAAGTTGTAAGACTTTATCAAAAGGTATTAATGACTAAATAAATGGAGAGATACACAATTAATCCATAGAGGATGTAATATTATAAGGATGTCAGATGCCTCCTCAAATTGACATATAGGTTTAGTACAACTACAACCAAAATTGTAACACATGTTAACACCAATGACAACCAAGTGGGTACTGCCAACGTGGATGAACGCTGAGGACATGATGTTGAGTAAAGCAAGCCGAACACCAAAGGATAAATGCTATGTGAGTCCATTTACAGGAGGTCCCCAGAGCAGTCGAATTCATACAGATAGAAACCCAAACGCTGGGAGCCTGGGCCTAGGAGAATGGGGAGTTCCTGTTTACTGGGGACAGTTTCAGCCAGGGAAGATAGAAAATCCCAGAGATGGCTGGTAGGGGTGGCTGCGTGACAAAGCGTATGTGTCTAAGACCACTGAACTGTACACCTTAACGCATATGTTGTAGTTATACATATTAAATACTGTATTCTTACAATAAAGTAAGCTAGGGAAAAATTTTTTTTTCAAATTTTTGCAAATCTTAAAAAAATTTCCAGTATATTAAAAAAAATCTGCACTTAAGTGGACCTGAGTTGTGCAAGGGTCACCTGTATTATTTTCAGATACAGTAAAACTGAAAAAGAGAAAGACATGAATAAACACAAAATTCAGTATTGTGGTTTCCCCTCATGGGGTGCAGTGGGCAGAGGGGCACAAACTGGGGGGCTGGAGAGAATGGCACTGGTGACAATGTGTTTCTTACCCTGGATAGGGACCACACAGGTGTTCATTTTGCTTCTTCTTTCTACCTCCTTTTTGCATCAGACATGTTCTGTTTTATGTGTGGAGTATTTCATCATTTAAAAAAAGATGTATGTATATCCATTAAGGTAATGTGTTAAATGCTTGTACCCGAACTGGTCTCTTAATGGGAATAATTCATGATCTGGCAGCAGTAAGACAACCTTTGGCCCCATGATGCTCAAGACGGAGAAGTTAATTCTGTGTTTTAGTTTTGATGTTGGTCAGCTCCAAATGTCTCAGAGGGACCCACAGTCAGAAAGAGCAAAGAATTCACAAATGCCCAGAAAAGGCAGGACACAGAGAATTTATTCTTGGCAAAAATGAAGTAGCGTTCAGCACTCTGGTTTTAAGAAGCTATATGACTCCCCCTCAAAGTGAGCTCAGGGCCTCAGCATGTCCTCAAGGAATGGATGAGACCCCCCATCCAAGCAGCACTGGGAAAATAGCATCTCCCCCTGGTCTCCATCCAGTTTCCATGTTTGCAGCAAGTCCTTCAGATGAACTCAGATCCCAGTTGTTCAAACAAGGAAAAAGCTTTCAGTGTTTGTTGGTTTTTTGTGGCTGAAGCAAGTTATCAGGCTTGGCTCCAAGGCTCAGCATGTCCTGGGTCTCCAGCCCTGTAAGAATAACAATCACCTTTTATTAAACATTTACTGTGCCAGTCACCACACTCACATTTACCCTACCTCAGGGTGACATAGGTACATTGATTTCCCCGTTTCACAGTTGAGGGCACGGGGCTCCAGGAAGGCACCTGATCTGCCTGGGTCACAGAGGTGGGGTGGAAGGCAGAGCGGGGTCTGTGGGCTTGGCTATCTCATGGGCAGCTCAGTTGAATCAGGGACCCTAGACTGTTCCCAGGGACCCCAAGTCCTATAGGTCTCTTGGCTCCAGAACCCAGAGGGAGGCAATTGCAGGGGGAGGGGTGCTCCAGGGGTGTGGGGAGGGCCACTGAAGCTGGCATGCAGGAAGAGCACTTCCCATCTCCCACCTCCCTCTGAAGGCTCCTCCAGTGCCTTGGGTCCCAGGCATCCAGCCGTGGTTCCTCCACCCAGCAGCTTGGCCTCCTGTGGGAGATGCCCCACGTGGAGGGACCTGGGATGCGTGCTGGCTGATGTGCATTCACTGAGATCAGCGGGTCCTGAGCGTGGCCCTGGAACCTAGTTACAACTTTAACTGTCCCCAGCTCACCTGACTCATCAAGTTAGAGGGAAAACAGGATAATGGCAATAAAAATTTCACTTGGGAAGGGGAGAGGCAGCATCTGACGGCCTTCCCTTCCACCCCATCCAGCAGGGAGGCCCTGGACTCAATGCCCGGGTTTGGGGTGGGGAAACTCTCCTTGCTGCTGAACTGCCTCAGCACCCCTCCCGTGGCAGCGGGACCAGGAGCACCTGCGGGGACAGGCGCCAGGCCTCTCTGGCCTCAGGTGGGGCCGGGCTTCCTTTCTTTCTAGGAAGCAGAGCTCTGGTCAAACAAGCCCGTGCAGCGAGACTCAGGCCTGGTCATCTGGACCTCATGGCTGGGGTCCTGGTGCAGAGAGGAAGGTGCTGGGAAGCCCCCCCCCACCTCGCTGGGAGACCTCCACGAGGCAGGCCAGGTGGACAGCCACCTCTGGTCTTCTCCATGATGAAGTGACTTTTTCCTCCATTGTTCTTTCTCCTCCAGAGACTATGAATTCTTGAGCTACCAGGCTTCTTCACAGGAGACTCTCTACCTCTCCCAGGGATAAGGGATGCAGCCCGGTGCCCCCAAATGCAGGCTCTTGAGTGTATCCTGGTCAGTTCCTGGCTGCCCGCTGCGCACCTGCCCGTACTCCACGTCAGACTGCAAATCCCAAAGCTGCCCTGCAGAGAGAGCACTGCCTGGGCCACAGCCCCTTTCTGAGGGCAGTTTCCTGCATGCAGGGCCTGGTGGATTGCACCCCCACTCCAGCCCGGGCTCTAACCTGGGACAACTTGGAAGGGCCACCCCTGTGCCAGAGCTCCCCGGGCAGTGAGGAGGCCTCTGCAGTGACACGCCACTCCATGCTTCCCTCTGCCCACCTGTGCACCTCATGGGTCCCAAAGGCCTGCCCCAGGAGCACTCTTCCAGAAGCTTCCTGCCTCCCAGGGGACCTGACACTGGGCAGAAGTCACTTAACCTCTGCGTGTCCCGGTTTCCTCCTCATAGAGACTCAGTTCTGTCTAAATGAGTTATGACATTTTAAAGGTTTAGAGGGGCACCCAGCACCTTCCAAGAGCCCATTATGGCCACTACTACTGGGACTCTGGACACACCGCCCCCCAGAACCCATGACCTGCTGCAGCCCTAGGCAAACACCTCCCCTGACTCACACCTCCATCTGCTCTAGAAATAAACCATAACTCAGTACGCAGCTTCGTTCATCTCTCCTCTCGTGCCTCTAGTTCCGTTCACTGGGGTCTATGCAACATGCTGAGCCCAGTTTACATATACAGACATATATGCATACACTTCTATTGGTAGGCATGCACACACATAGGTTCAGTATGTATGTATAGTATATACATTTATATTCCTTGTCGCCCTGGTGCTGAGAAGCTCTAGCTGCTTTATGAGTCTGCCCTTTGAAGACTAAGAACTGGAAGCACCGTGGCCTCCGCCCCAGAGAGCTCCCTGCCTGCCTCCCCAGGCCTGCCCCCTGCACTGTCTTCTTTAGCATGCTTTGCTATTCCTGGGAGTCTGGCCCAGGCAAACGGCTTCATCATTCATGAAACCTCGGGGCAGGCCCATCATTTCTTCATTGGCTAATTTCAACAGCTTATGCCGTGAGGTTCTTTGAACCCCTGCCTCAAACACCAACACCTGCCTTAACCCAAACTTCCAGCCTGCCACCCCACCTGGCCTCCCCTGTCCACACTCTGCCAGCTCTACTTTACCACCAATATTAATAACCTGGGCTTTGTCTGGGTCTATAGACGGTTATCTGGGGAGCCTGTGCCTGACAATAATGGGCCTATTTAATGTAGGCAGTGACAAATGACTCAATAAAGCTAATAAAGAAAATAAAATAGTGATCGTGTTCCCAGCTGTAAAAGTTTCAGTCCTGGTACAAAGTGAGTAAAACAGTAAATTATTCTGTCCTCCTCTACTGACTAAGTCCTTCACAAAGGACGGCCTACCGTGCCCCAGGATCACTCAGGCAGGGCCCTGGAGGGATGGAGATCACCAGCCGCTGTGGGCCATGTGGGCATGTGGGCTGGGGTGGGAGTGAGCGGGCCCACCTGCCAGGAGATCAGCGGGAAGAGGTCCGGGGCCAGGCAGGGAGGAGCCCCCCACACCCAGGGACGCCGGAGGTCAGATGTCAGGGTTTGCACTGCACTCCACCTCTAATTACTCTCACAATCTCATAGGCAAACTGCTTACATTCTCAGAGAATTCGTAGCTTTATCCGTAAAATTGGCGCAATAACGTATTTCAGGATTGCTGAAGATTAGATTAGCCGATGAAAGCAGAGAGACTTTGCAAACCGTGAAGAGCAAGTTCCCATCTTTTCCAGGGCGTGGGAGGTGACGCTCTCTCAGGTCAGTCTACATCTGGGACCTCCACTCCAGGGCTGTCCGGTGCAGCTCTGAAAGTTGGG